GCGGGCGCGACACCGAGGGTTGCGATCCCGTTGCCGGTCAGTAAAAAAGACAAAAAGGAAGGAAAAAAAAAAAAAAACTTTGGGAAAATAGAATTGAAAGATAATATCAATCTTTCTATGAACTTTTTGAAGTACCTTCCTAAATATTGAATATGTTATTTTATATAAAATATAATTTAATTTTATGCAAGTTATAATTATGTAAAATTGAAATAGTATGATATACTAAAAGTATTAATAAAGCCTCACCCAAATTTTTAAAATAAAAGTTAACTAGAATTATATAATTTCAAAGTTGGAGGGTTTGAGTAAATTGTAAACTGTTTAAGCTCTAGCCACATGGCACCATTTTGGCCAGGAAACACAGGTACCTGACTTCCTTTGGCAATGTTCTGTGAACTTGTACTTGTGGTTTTAGTGTCCATTTTTTTGGTTATTTTAACATCTGTTTTTGTTATAATTGTCATATTTTTACAGCCAGTTGTAATGTCACCTAAGCATTCATTAAGTGGTGGTAATATTAGTACTTGTGCTAGTGCTGAATATAAGTACATGAAAACAAGTAAGTTTGGAATAGAATTTAGATGTGGTAAATCATGATGCTTATATGCTGTGCTGTTAATTTAGGCATGAGCACTCTGTAAATGACTGGAGATGATGCTTAGAAAATAAAATGGAGCATTGAGATAAAAATGCACTATAGTGAGGTATATCTGTGCCTCCTGAGTATGCATTTATTCCTGTGGGAAAATCAGTTCTGAATTTTGCATGTATTGAGTTATTAAAAGTTTTCAGGAACACATCTCTTGTATAAAATGCAGCTATCATGTTCTTGAATATTTTTTGTCATTAAAATTATGTACCAGGGCCAGCCCGTGGCTCACTCGGGAGAGTGCGGTGCTGATAACACCAAGGCCACGGGTTCAGATCCCATATAGGGATGGCCGGTTAGCTCACTGGGTGAGTGTGGTGCTGACAACACCAAGTGAAGGGTTAAGATCCCCTTACTGGTCATCTTTTTTTAAAAAAAAAAAAAAAAAAATTATGGACCAGTTTTAGAATCTCTTTTTACAACACATTGGGACTAAAGCAATAGGTTGTTATCTTTAAAGTATAAAATAAGAATGGGCTTCTGGTCAAGATGGCAGAAAGTCCCCAGGGTCACTCTCTCCCACAAATCAGCCAATTTGCAACTATAAAAAAGCAAAGACAAGGCCGGCCCCGTGGCGCACTCGGGAGAGTGCAGCGCTGGGAGCGCAGCGACGCTCCCTCCACGGGTTCGGATCCTATATAGGAATGGCCGATGCGCTCACTGGCTGACCGTGGTGCGAGTGTCACCACACCAAGGGTTGCGATACCCTTACTGGTCACGAAAAAAGACAAAAAAAAAAAAAAGCAATGACAGCCAAGCTGGGGCCCCTAGAGCTCAGGGGAAGAGGAGGAGAGACCTATGGAGTGCATTAAGGAGGGAGAAGCCACAATGAGAGAAAGAAAAACCTGCTCTGACTGTTTCGAGCCCTGGCTGCATCCAGGCTGGAGCTGCTGAGCACTCAGAACAGGAGCTGGCAAAAGCCGGAGCTGTGCTCTCTGGATTAAGTTGCTTGGAGGTGGCAGGGGAGAAGAGAGCCAAGGTGGCCTCCAGGCCAGTATGGCAATTAGTAGGGTTCCCGAGGACCCACAGAGGAGTGAGGAGCCACAACAACTGAAAAAAAGGAGCCACTCAGAGGCTGCTGAGTCATTGCAAGGGACCGGAGCATGACCTGTCCTATGGGAAATGTTTGCAGCTTGGGCAGTCAGGAAGACAGGCCACCAGGGGAACACTGGGGCACAGCAAGGACAGCTGATCTGCACGCCAATTAGCGAAGGACCACTCAGAGGAAACTGGTCAGGAATATAGAATTGCAGGGGGTGCCGTTTGATGGAAAGACTCAGGCCCAGACCAGAGTTTCTACACAACCCAGGTGCAGCAGATCTCTCAAGAGCTGGAAGCACCTATAAAGTCAACTGTTAAAACCTGAGCTGCACAAAAAGCCTTCCTCAGGGAATCAGCAGCAAAGCAGCAATTTAG